TATATATATATATATATATATATATATATATATATATATATATATGTTTTATGAAGGTGTCATTAACCATTACTAAAAACAATATTTGCACAACCTATGTGGAATGGCATTCTGCAATTGTATGAGGTGCATGAATCCAAACATGGCTTTCTTTGAATTCTTCGAAGCAATGGTTGTTGATAAATTTCTCTAATTCATGGCAAAATCAATCATACGAGGTGATCATTCACACCCGACGATAATCTTAGAAGCAGTGGCGTCAAATGATCTATGGATTTGACATGTATTCTTTGACATTTCCGATTCTAACAATAACATCAATGTTCTTCATTATTCTCCGATATTTAAAGACATCTTAAATGGATAAGGTGTCCGTTTAAAGTTATTGGATTATAATATAAGCACAAGTTTTCTCTTAGTGATAAGATACATCCTTGATATTCTACATTTTTTAAATCATCACATGTCCACAAGATGAAAATGAAGAAATTTGAAGGCAACACAATAATCAACAAGGAAGGATGTGAAACGAGCATTTGATGTCCTTAAGCAACATTGACATATAGCGAAAAACCCACCACGAACATTGCTTCCCAAACAATTAAGAAACATAATGTATATGTGCATCATATTACATAATATTATTGTTGGGATGCAAACTTAATCCCCACATTGATAAAAAGAGAAATCATATGCTAACATATACGACAATGGGTAATCCCTTCAATCACCAACTGATTTTAGAAAATGGAACCTTATTGTTCTTCTATGTTGAGCATGGTTGGACTTATAACGATCCTAACAAATGGTATCAGAGCTACAGTCGTAGCCCGAATGATGTGGCCGACGTAGGTGGCACAATCTATAGTAATTCCCAGTCCAATGAAGTTGATCCTAAATAGGTGAATGTGTCCCGAGAGTATCGACGGTATGAAAAAAAATTGGATCTAATGAATAATCATTGAAGGGGAGGCCAAGGGCGTAACTTGAGTTTGAGGGGAGGATTATTGGGATGCAAACCCAATCCCACATCAATAAAAAAAGAAACTATATGCTAGCATATAAGACAATGAGTAATCCCTTCCATCACCAATTGGTTTTAGAAAATGAAATCTCATTGTTCTTCTATGTTGAACATGGTTGGGCTTGTAGCGACCCTAACAATCTCAGATTTGATGCAGTATATTTATACAACTCAACTATCGACCACTACCAAAACTAGATATTTGTATTTTTCTTTTTGATTATTTAAGGTTTATGTTATTTTAAGTGGAGTGATCTATTTTAAAAAAAATTATGAAAATTTTAACTTTTTTAGGTTAAATTAATGAATTTGTTTTAGTTATTATTAATCTTATATCTACTTTTGTTTATATATAGTAAGTTAAATATTCTAAAATTAATAATTATTATTTATATTAAAAATAAATAGAAAATTAGTGAAAGATAAAAGATGAATATGACACTATTTGAAAGATACAGAACTCGAGGGATATAGTGTGACCGGTTTGTTTTTCCCATTTTCAAACTTCATTGATATTTGTGTGTCATGGCTTCCATATTAATTGGCATCAAAGTTCGTTTGTTATTGGTGTGTTCATGTTCTTGCGTTTGCTTTGAGTTTTTATTTTCGTATTTTTGCTACCCTTAAATGGCAACTCACATTCAACTCCAAAGTTCATTGTTATTGGCAATTTGTTGCTTTTGTGTTGCTGTTTCATGATTCAGAATTAGATAAAAGTTCATTGTTATTATAGAGCAATTCGTGTGGTAGTGTTCTCATCTCCAAAAGCAGGTTGCAATTGGCAATTTACATGTTCTGGTGCTGTTGTTTCAAGGCTCAAAAACCATGTCCAAATAATTTAGCTATTGTGGATCAATTGGCATTGCTATAAATGAATCACATGAAACATAATCAACACCATTACACATTAACAACATTGTCCTGAATTTATTAGACACAATATGGTGCTCATATTCGATTAAATTGGTTTCTAATTTCATCTCTACCACTAAACCAACTTTATAAAATACCCTGCTTACATCTTTGAGGGTTTAGGAAAGATGTCAGGAGTGAACTTCTGGGCTGCACTCAAACTCCCCTTCACCTTCATTTTACCTCTGCACATATGAACCAAGATTAAAGAAAAATTTATTCATTCATATAGTAATCACTAAGGTGTCACCATGGAATTTTTTTACCTCATGAAAGCAATTTGAGGATTCATTTTTCCAGTAGCAATTTTGAAGAAATCCGGATCTGTGAAAGAAAAGGTGGCATCTGGTTTTCCTCCTTCATATGCGCCTAAATCAGAATTCCAAATTAATCAGCTAAATAAAACCGCTCTAATGGCATCAATTCTTCGTCTAATCCAACATCACAGAATAAAGAATAAAGAAATGAGGAAACAGCAGAAAGATGTCAAGAACTTCATACCTTTAGTAACCTCTCCTTTCTTCAGATCGACGACGTAAATCTCCTCGTTGAATCCCATTTTCTGTCGAATCGACATAATAACAGATGATAATTACTTGATTTGATTGCAAGTGATTAGGGATTTTGACAAAGTACAGTATATAATAATAACAAATTTCAACCTTGGGAGCGATGTGAATTTGATATACAAGTCCGATTTTTTTGGTGAGGGCTTTGCCGGCGTCGGTAGAGAAGTGGGTCTTCATCTGGTCCAGTAACGCGGCTGATTTGAGATCAGATGATGCCATTGGCAGTGATAGTGAGATCGGAAAAATTGGAATGAAAAGAAAACATGAAGGGATTCTGGTTTATATAATTCACTGAAGATACTCACAAGCCAACAGTTTGGGGCATCAATTTCAGAATACCCATGACTATATTCTAGGTGTTTCTGATCTTGGCATCGGGAAGTGTTCTTTCTATCCAATATTGTGACATCTAGGCTCGACAACAAAAGCCCATACAACCTGATTTGACAGAGAACTCTATTGAAGCTTATTGGTCTTTTTATTAGAGCATACGGTATCGGTACTAACAACCACGTTTTTGTACATCTCCATAATGTGATCATGACACCATGAACATCATTTCCCCTTGGTGTTTATGGCACATCTCGTTTGCGTTATGACATTTTGCAACCGGGAAACAAACAAATCAAATCATTTTTCTTTCTTTCTTTCCCTTTCTCTCTCTACTTCTTAACATGTTATAACCTAGAGAACACCATTTTCACATTGGTGTTATGGATGAGGTGACATATAAATTGGGTGTTATAACGTGACCCATACCCAATGCTCTTAGAGCATAAGTTATGGGTACTCTCCATAACAGCATAAGGCAACGAACACCGTCCCTGGTGCTTGTTATGGGCCATCTCGTTGGCATTACCACGAATCGAAACAGTGGGATAAGAGACGTTGGAGTTTTGACCGTTGAAGGGTCATATTTTATTAAAAAAACATTTTTATTTACCTATAAATACAACATATTTGCCAAAATGCATTTGATTTAGCGGTAAGGAGTGACCCTGCCAAAGGAGATGTCATAGACTAAAGTCTCAATAGGAGACATATGTGGTGTTTTGGAATATGTAAGTTTGCCTATTAAAAAATACAATACAAATATTTCACCCAATTTTGTACATTTTATAAAATTCACTACTTATTCAACAAAAAAAAATGGAACAAAACCCAAACATCTCTCATCAAACCCAAACACACAACCAAACACAACCTCTCCTCTCGGATTTTCCGGTTACGAAAATTATTTTAACCTTTTATCCTCTTAAAGTTCACCACAAATCTCATACCAATGAGCTTCTTTCAATTCACTTCGCCGCCAATCCTACCTCACCTTACATTCAACAAAATCTTTTTGGGCAAAATCCAAATGTCCAAGAAAATTTGTTCACAACTTTCTCTTCGATCCCATAAACAACCACCCAAACACCACCACCAACACAACCATCGGTCGAAAAGAAAGCGGGAGGTAGTAGGAGAGGGAGAGGAAAAGGGAAATGGAAAAGGAAAGCTATGTCAATTGAAACGGAAAGTGAGGAAATTCCACAATGGTGGACATGGGATGAGAAATATGCTTTAGCGGTAGCGTGTTGTGAGACTTCAAAAAAGAAAGTTGCGGAAACTGTATGAAGAAAGGTGCTTACTGGGAAGTGGTCCTCGTCAAATTCCACAATATCTTGAAGAAAAAACCGTATCACAAGAAGTAAGTAGTGCACAAAATTCAATGGTATATACAACATGATCCAATCGCAACAGCATAGCGAAACCAACGACTTCGATTTGTTAAAATCCACAAAAAAAATATTTTCAAGTCGAGATAGGACATGTGTTCAAGTTCGATAAAGCATGGAAGTTGGTGCGAGTAGATCCAAAATGGATTAAAACTCCTACATCATCGGAGGTTCAATCGAAGAGGTCTTGAAATTCGAGTTCGGTCGACGTTTCATACGCACAAACTCACATCAAACTCAACATCGACACTAATGATATTTCGAATGACATCAATGAGATGTCTTCGTCACGACTACCGGAAGGATATGGTAAATCTAAGCGCAGTGCAAAACATACGGAGGACCTTGAGATGAAAGCAAGAGAAATGATGAAAATGAAAGTGAAGTTCGATGAGCACAATTAAATACAAAACGAAAAAAATGAGTTGAAACGTCGGCACAACATGGAGTTCCTTGAAAGGCAAGCATGAGAGGAGAACGAGCAACACTAGCAAGAACAAATGACGAATTAATTGGCAATTCTTCGGATTAGTGAGTAGGGTTCGACGCCCTAAGATCTGGAAATGCTACGAGCGATGAAAAGAGAAGATTATGGCCACTTATTTGGGCAATTAAGACTATGGGGGGATCAATATGTTGAAGAAGTAGTTGTTCAAAGAGTATGAGATGAAGGACCTAGAGGCCGCTAAACAGATTTTAGGCATGAGCATAGCTAGAGACATAATTGCTTGTACTCTGAAGCATTTTCAAGAAAAGTACATAAAGGATGTTCTAGAGAAATCTAGTACGGTGGATGCTAATGCTAGAAATACATCTTCGTATAGTCACTTTAGACTTTCAAATAAATAGTCCCTAAAGAAGGAAGAAGACAATGAATAGATGGATACAGTTCCTTATGCCTCAACATTTAGTAGCCTGGTGTATGTTATGGTATGCACCAAACCAAATATTATGCATGTAGTGGAAGTTATGAGCCAGTTTATGTCAAATTCGAGAAAAGAGCCTCAACAAGGAGTCAAGTAGCTCTTATGCTACTTGAAAAGTACTACCAAGGCTGCCTTATGTTTTAGAAGAAAAGAAATAGTCTTGGAAGGTTTTGTTGATGCTGACTGGGGGGGATGTCCAGGTTACTAAAGAGTGTTTCTCTTTCAACCTTAGACTCATAGTACATGGCTATTATAGAAGCAAACAAAGAGCTTATATGGTTGAAAAACTTTTTATTAGAACTTGGGAATCATAGTGAAATACATTTGGCAAAGAATCTAGTGTTTCATAATCAGACGAAACACATCTAGATGAGGTACCACTTTATCAGGTAATTGATAAGTGATGGTACCCTGAACCTGAAGAAAATCCTTGACATAAAGAATCCAACATATATATTACTAAGGTGGTGACAATAGAGAATGTGAAGTTATATATGGCTTCAACTAGCCTTCCAAATACTTAATGGACTAGATAGAGATATCAGGTTATAGAGTTCTAGATTTGATGGTAGTAGTTTTGGTTGATCAGCCTCCAAGTAGGAGATTGTTAAGTTGTGGAGCCTGATTCGCCGGTTGACCTTATAGACGGTAGGTAGACCAAACATATGTCGTGGACCAAAATTCGTCACAGTTTATGTGATTGGCCTTATTGTATATTTTTAGGTAATTATTCTGCTAAATATATTCCTTGAGTTTGTGTAACCTAGGTGTGGCAGATAAGAAAATTGTAATTTGGTAGTAATCAATGAGATTTCTCTCTCATGGTCTCCAATGGATGTAGCTGATCACTCTGATAATGTGAATAATGTAAAATAGTACAATACTATGTTCCTTTTTGTGTACATTACTACTCTATGTGTGAAATCACTTATTGTTTGTTGAAATGATTAAACCCTAACACTTATGAGTTGACAATTCAATTCAAAATATGAGTAAGGAGATCTTCAGAGGAAACTTGAATCAATTGTGAGAAATTTTGTAAGCTTGAATTAAAAGGAGAGTTTTGTAACGATTTGTAAAAGGTAAGCATGTTTTAGGTCCAAAGTTAAGGTGTATTTGAATAGTGTTTACTACTCTTTTATTTGTTTTAGGCTACACATACATAACCATGCTACTTAGTAATATGAACTTAGAGACCAAAACAAATGCATCCCTCGTCTTACACACTGGCTTGGATACTTTGGGATGCAAATGAAAACCATGTTAGAGTTGGCCAACACTTAATATAAACATATATTTTGTCAATGCAATGAATAAACTAAATGTTAAATAAGTCAAAGAAAAACTAGTGACTTACAAATCTAAAAGATATGTAAAAATTAATGAAAATGGAAAAAACATATAATAATCCTGATCGTAATCATAGGATGATTAGCCAAACATTATTGTGTTTGTTTTGATAATATTGAATACAAGTATCAGTGAGGTAATATTGAATGAAGGTTAAATGATTCTAAATTTATTTGAAAGTTTCCTTCAACTATTTCGAAGGTTGTATGAAGTTGTTGAGACTTGAATATGAAAGATGTGTTGGATTAGGTGTCTAAGCCCATAACTATAATTGATATATACTTGAATTGATAGAAGCACAAGTCCTTCTGGGTTTCCTTCACTCTTGCAACTTGAGAGGATGACTTTTAGAGAGAAGTTGAATTTATTATTTGGGATAATAAATTGATATGAATGATTTATTAATATGTTATGAGAATAATATATTAATTAGAAATCATGTTATTTAATTAATATTTAATCATAAATTAGTTTGGAATTAATTTTGGGATTAAAGGAATTAATTAAATATACAATGGTTATTTTGCAAATCATTGATAATTGTGAAACTGGGCTTTTGAACCCCATAGATAGGAGTGTACGAAAATTATAGGGTGACCCTATAAGTTTTTGTGACAACCCGAAATTTACTCCGTCACTGTAACCCGTTTCCGTTAATAAAAGTTAGTTCTATTAAAATTTTCCGTTAACTTTTATTTGTTAAAATAATTCATTGTGAGTTATTAAAATAATATATATTTAATGACGGAATAAAAGCATCTAAGTCGGGTTACGGTTAGTTTACCCGGTAAAAACATTGAGCTCCGTTTAAACGACAGTGTATGGTGGGTCCCCACTAGGCAGCCATATATAAAGGAGGAGTGTCCACC